CATTCTTTTGAATTGAGAAACAGCCCTGGTTAATCTTTCAGCTTTGACCTGTAACCACTCAAGGTCGCCACCATGACGACGGATGGTACCACTGACGAGACGTCCACAGATGTCCAGAACCAGTGTCGTGCATGAACTCGTTCACTGAACAGCGTTCGCTGAATACCTTCATGTTTTTAGTGAGCGGTGAACTCAACGGATCAGTTCTGAAGTGATGAAAGGGAACGAGAGCGACGTTCACTCTGAGAGTAATGAGCGACACACACAGCCCACGTTGGCGTTCATATTTAAAGCCACACATGGAGTCAAGGCTTCTGGGCTATCCTGGGAAATATCTGCTGCTGAATGAGGAACGGAAGAAATCATTTTGGATCCAGATCTTTTCAGCAGAACTTGAATGTTTCTGAAGTTCTGTGTAATTTGGCCAAATAAAGGCTTTGCTGCACATCCAGTAAACCTGGACTGCATCCAGGATTTTCCTTTTCTCTCTATATATTATGATTAAATAATCTAAGGGGGAAATATGAGGTTCTATTGTGGAAGATCGTGGCTTCATTTACCAAATTAACCTGAACTGGTTCACTTATCGGTTTATGAACTTCATTTTTTGAAAAAGTGAGCTATAAATGTGAGCGAGTTCATTTTGTGTGAACTGAACTTTGAGCTCCTTCTTTGGCACAACATCATCCAGAACATGTGTTCTGCAGCTTCTGAATCGGTTCCTCTGCCATGATCCTGCAGGGGCCTCCTTAATCAGTTGCAGTTTTATTTTGCCCCCCCCATGTTTATCTTGCTTTCTCTTTTTTATTTTCTACATTGAGGCTTGTTGCTTTTTTTCCCTGCAAGCTTCCATGTCTCCAAAGATCTGCACATTCCTGCTCCCATTCCTTCCTTCCCCCTGTATCCCCCCACCCCTTCCCTCTTGATTGCGCCGTCTTAGCTCCATCTGTCTGGAAGCCTCACCCTCCCTGGTGAGAAGATGAATGGATGCAGGGCAGCAGGGTGGCGGCCATCAGCCTGGCAGGCGGGGCGTTTATTGGTTGGTGGGGCTGCTGCTGCTGGGTAACTGTAAATGCTGCGGGATTAACGAAGGACGCCCACTGGCGGCCATTGTTGATCGACTAGTTGGAGCGACCCTTTGCAATCTGCCAGCGAGATGTTAGCGGGATGTCGGCCACATCATCATGTTTCTCTTGGGATGATAGTAATCTCTCATTTTTAGTGAAACCTAGTGAAACCCAGTGAAACACGTTCCCCATTCTGGTCTGCTTTCAAAATCTGAACCACCAGCTTTCATAATAATAATAATTGAACTTTTATTGATTTCACATAGGAGACTGGAACTCAGAACCTCAGGATTCTAAGCTCTATGCCCTAACCACTAGGCCACCACAACCTGAACACTTTACTTCATGCTTCATACTTCATACTAAGCATGCTTGTAGCGACAGTGGTGAGGAAAAACTCCCTTTGAACAGGAAGAAATCTCCAGCAGAACCAGGCTCAGTGTGAGCGGCCATCTGCTGAGGCCAACTGGGGTTCAAGGAGACTTAGGCTACGTTCACACAGCAGTCTGAAGTGACCTAAATCCGATTTTCTTTGCCCATATGCAACCTGTATCTGATCTTTTCCTGGCAGTCTACACAACAGATCCGATTTTTTTGCCGCTTGGCTCTGTGGTCCTGAATCCGATATGAATCTGATCTTTTCAAATGTGACTTGTGTCTGAACGGCCAGGTCACATTTACCCGACCTTAACGCCAGTAATACTAAACAAAGGTCACTATTCTGCATCTTGCTACATAAAACTGGCAAGAAAAACAACAACCATGACGGAAAAAGAGTAGTCTTTTATTTCTTTTTTTTTTATCTTGAAAAGATTGAGTTTTTAAGGTTGGGATAGATCGCTAGATGCACTCCAGCACTACCATCCAGGTTTACTTTCGTAAAGACAGAGCAAGCTAGCTTGTGACGTCATTGCGCCCTCTACTGTGCGTGCAGGACACTTAAGCTCTATAAATATATTTCACACAGGAAATCA